TTCTGCGGGCACAGCTGGTGCTCTTCCACTAAGCCAGGGCCCTCCCTGAATGCCAGATGTGGCAAAGACCTGTAGCCAGAAACAGGGTAGCCTGTAAGTTTAGGGTATTGTCATTTAGACCACTAGAGTGACTTGGTCTCTTAGTGCTTTTTGAAGGGGAGAAGTTAGAATATCAGAGAAGCCAATGTTGGATCAGGCCAGTGGCCCATCCAGTCCAACACTCTGTCACACAGTGGCCAAAAATACCAGGTGCCATCGAGAGGTCCAGCAGTGGGGCCAGGACACTAGAAGCCCTCCCACTGTTGCTCCCCCCAAGCACCAAGAATACAGAGCATCACTTGCCCCAGACTGACAGTTCCTATTTATACCTTGTGGCTAAGAGCCACTGATGGACCTCTGCTCCATATGCTTATCCAATTCCCTCTTGAAGGCATCCATGCTTGTAGCCGCCGCCACATCCCATGGCAGTGAATTCCATGTGTTGATCACTCTCTGGGTGAAGAAGTACTTTTTATCCGTTGGCCAGGAAGCCTTATCCTACCGAGTAAGGGTAGGGTAAAAATGTTGCTCTCCTTAGCTGACACATCTACATGGCCGTCTTTGAGTCATACGTGTGTTTGGGAACAGCCGGAGTGTATCCGTCGCCCCCCTGCCTGGTCGCCTAGAGGAGAACCCTCATTTCTCACCGGTGAACAAGTCCAGTGGCCATCTCCGGGGCTCTCCTTTTGACCTTCGCCCGCCACCTCCTCTCCTCTCCTGCCGGCATTATCTTCTCGTTGTTCGCCATACGACAGATTGACGGCTCCGGGGCCATTATCTCACTGTCTTGGTGGCTCTTCTTCAGGCAGCTTTAACCGGGCGGCTTGATCGGCCGTAAAAGGATTTTACACGGCCGGCCGGTGATCCTCTTATTCCCCAGAAGCTAATCTGGCCGGTGGGATTTAGCAGCCGCCTTGCCTCCTCCAAATGTCCCGTCTCCCACCGCCTTAATGCAGATTTTTAAGGCCCCCCGGGGAGGCCTACGGGTTGGAGCCGTTTTGTTGTCATGGCGATCGGAGGCAAGAGGGAGATGTAAGACTCTCCCACCTGTTTGGCCCTGATTTGCTGGCACCTTCCGTAGGCTCAGTGCCTGCACAGCTGTTTGGATTCCTCTGCGTTAGAGTCTGTCTTGGCTATTAGCAGCCTTTCTGGATTAGAGCTGGGGGCAGTGTTCCCTCTAAGCTGAGTCAGCGTGAGCCAGCTCACAGCTTTTTTAGCCTCCGGCTCACACATTTTCTGTCTTTACTCAGGAAGGAGGGCTCCAGAGCAAACTAATTTATGCAGCAGCCAAATCGCTCGCTCGGAACTTTAATGCCAGGAGCTCACCAAGTAGAATTTTTGCTCACAAGACTCCACAGCTTAGAGGGAACACTGGTTGGGGGACAGCCGTGGGGCAGGGTCCTGGCCTGAAAGGTTCTGGGGGCATTTGAAGCCTCTCCCCTGGATTTTCTGCTTTCACCTGTGGGGAAGGGAAACTCTCTGGCACCGTTTCAGATATTCGAAGTGCGTACAGTAAGGGTTCCCATTTGAACATCAGAAAAGCCAGTGTTTGATCAGGGCAGTGGCCTGCCCAGTCCAACACTGTGTCACACAGTGGAAAAATTCCAGCAGCCATCAGGAGGTCCAGCAGTGGGGGCAGAACTCCAGCAGCCCTCCCGCTGTGCCCCCCTGGGTGTGACAGAGTGTTGGACTGGATGGGCCATTGGCCTGATCCAATATCGGCTTCTCTTATGTTCTTATGAACTTGGGACCTTCCGCATGCCAAACACATGCTCTACCCCTGAGCGACTGACCCCTCCCCTCCACCCTTACGGTCTGCTTGTGAGTGTCTCAGAAATGCCCACCATCAGAACCAGGATTGTGGATCAGAGGGATCCTCGCTCTGATCCAGCCAGGACTCTTCTGTTCGTACGGCAAGCAGAAGTTCAGGGTTGAACTTCCCCCAGGAGAACTTTCCCGTGCTTTTCCAGAGGGTTAGATGGGCCGTTCTGGAGAGGAGGATAGCAGGTTCCGCCTTGTTCAGAAACGGTTGGGTTCACCTGGGGAAGCCAAAGCCCAAAAGGCAGTCCGTTCGAAGAGGGAGTGTGAACCTCCCGGCCAATGGGGAGCCGACCTTCTACCACCTGCAAAAATTTGGTGCCAAGGAATTCTTCAGTTCGACGGGGGCCACAAAGACCCTCGGGAAGGAACGAGCCACCCGGAACGCGGTTCTACCTGGTGGCTGCCGCTGCTCGGAATCGCGTCCGTGGTGGTTGTTTTCAAGCAGCTGGTAATCAGCTTGCCGCAGCAGATGGAGAGAGCGAGAAGAAACTAGGTCATCCTTCTCCGCCCGGCCGTCTTTACGGCACGACTTCTCTGCCGCTGGCTGGGCACCGACCCTTCCAAATCCGCATCCATTGGGGGCTAGTCAGGCAAGGTTGGCATCTCTGGCCGTGCTGGGAGGGTCTTTGAGGAAGTCAGGGCCTAGTTTTTTATTTCCGCCTGGTTGGCCGAACCATGTCAGGGCTGTACCGCGTCTGATTCGGTGGCTGATTTGAACATTCCCTTGAATTAAACAAAAGCTCAACCAGAATTATAATTAGAAAACTAGCAAAGGAAATTAGTCTATCACAGTAGAACCCAACTCCTTTCTACTGTGATAGGCTAATGTTCTTTGTTTGGTCCCTCCCGCTATGTGCGTTCAATCGCAGGAGACTACCCCACATTCTAAAGTGGTACAGTCCTGACATGGGCTGATGACCCTGAACTTGTTCACAGATCTTTCTGTATCTGGATGAGAAGCAAGAGCCGAGGTGTGACCGCACAGCAGTTTAGGGATTGTTTTATTTCACTCTTTGAGGTTCCCCAATGTCCCTCTGCATATAAGACAGTTTCAGATGGTAGACCTCTGAGGGTACATTCTCTACTTTCTCCCCCCAGGGTGGGAAGAGTAGGAGCTACCCCATCATATA